CAATTATAGTTAAAAGTGTTAATGAGGCCCTAACATGGTACTTTAAGAAATTCAATGACTAAATATGATAAGTGTCGGAAATAGGGGTCTAAACTTTAGTATTTTTTATTTAAAAAAACATAATTTTGAAGTTTTTAAACCTGATGGTAAATATTTATTTTTAATTTAAAAATATCAATTTTATTATTATTTATTTAAAAATATGAATTTTGATCTATTCAAACTATTGTCATGTCATGATTGTCATTTAATAAATTTTTAAATAAAAAATATAAAGTTTATATCTCTATTTAAAAAAATTAAAAATTTATTATTTAATTTAAAAATCCAAAAAATTTGTATCCTTAAATTAAAAAAATAAAGTTTACATATTTTTATCTACACATTTTCTCACTTAATAACCTTATTTAAATATAAGGATTTGACGAAAGTTTAGAGTCCTATTCAATACCTAAGTTATTAATATGATGAAGGTATATGATAAAACTTAAAAAATATTTATGATAAAAAAATAAATACTTTTCTCACAAATTTTAATATTTGTTAAAAAAATTTAAAAATTATAATTTTTAAAATAACTTTTAAAAAAATTAGCCAACTTACTTTAAAAATTAAATTTTTAAATTTTTTTTAATAAAATTTTAAATTTATAAGGGAAAATTTTACTTGATCAAAACGCCTGGTCAACGAGCCACGCCCACTAGTGTTAGAATTTTATTATTTTACTAGTAAATGTTCTCCAAGAATTCAGTTGTTTTTGTTGGAGCTTTTGTTTTACGAAGAAAAGTGTAGAGAAGAGACTTGCAGGACAAGAAGAGACACCCAGAGTTCCATCTTTTGGTGAGTTGAAAACCCCTTTTTCTTCATTGATGGAGTTCCCTATTTTGGTGAGGTGCAACTAAATTTCTTCATTCATCTTCTGCTCTCTCTTTCTCTATCAATTTTCCTAAATATTTCCTTCAATATTTTTCTGAATTTTCATTCCTTTCTCCGTTCTCTTTTTCCGGAGCCCTCTTTTGTACAAAAAAAAAGAAAAAAGAAATAGAAACCCAATCTCAAACCATAATCTTCAATCACAAAATACAGATAAAACCCAATTCAAATAGAATAAGAAGCCTAAAATACAATTGAGTCTCTGCATCCTTCCTCTTTAAAGGCCAAGGTCATACCTCTGTGGATTAGGGCTTCTAACTCCAAATCGATTTTGGACTTCTTTTCTTGCGGATCTCCTCTGATTCCTTCAATTGGTTGGCCCTAGATCCAAAAATCTCTTCACTAAATTCGTCTTTTAATCGAACTCAAGTTGATGAAGAAGAAATTTTTGGAGAGAAGGTGCGGCAGAGCAAAAGATCGCTAATGAACCGTGGTCTGTCATCTTTTACTATAAAAACGACGTCGTTTCACGGATTCTTTCCTTTGAACCTCATCTTCCGTGCATGCATCAACTTAGTCTCCTAACGTCTTATTTCATCAATCTGGTCCTGTAACTCACAATTTCAAAGTCTAAGTTCTTTGCAACCAAGTCCAATTTATTTTATTTCTCTTACATGATTAATTTTTAATTTTATCATTGAATCTTTAAAATTAAAATTATAAAAAAAATTAATTTTAATTAAAGCATTAAAAAAGATTTTCAAAAAAATACTTGGTTAAAATTGAGTCATAATAGTAATATCCTAGAGCCTACAGGACGGAGCGACATGTTGAAGTTTTTTTTACATTTTTTAATTTGAAGTTTTTTAATTTGTTTTATGTATGGTGAAACAGCCTAAGATGGAAATAGCTTCTCCCAGCGCGGTTATGGTACAGCTCAACATGGACAGTGATTCAGGGGATGCTTCGGTTGCCGAGTTTCAAGAAATTGTCATCCATCCTCAGGAAGGACCTCAAAGAGGTTTTATTTAATTCACAGTTTATTTATCCTCCCCTAAGCAATAATTATTGTATAATAATTAATTAGTATATTATTTTTGGTTGAACCCAAAATTCACTCCTCAAAAAATAGGCAGACATATCCTTCTTTAAAAAACAGAAATAAATTATTTTTGAAATTGTTAATCAAGATAAATAACATATTATTTAATATGTAATAACTAATTTGCTTTCTAAGTTTGTTTTAATGAAAAATTACCATGTAATAATGTTAAATGTTAAATGACAAATGATTCATCTTGATTAATGATTTAGAAGAATAATTTGTCTTTATTTTCCTTTTAGGACTAGGTCTATTTCTCCCATCTTATTTAGTAGTGAATTTAAGGGATTTAATAGTGAATTTTAGGGATCGATCATTATTTTTCGTTTTGTAGAAAAAAAATTATTTTTATTTTAATTATAGATATCAGATATAAGTCACAATAATTACTCTTATCTCATGCCATATGCAAACAATTCAATTTCCTCCGCCACTCAATTTTGGCAAATTTTAACATTTTCGTTTTGCTAACCAAACAGTAAAAATTATTTTCCATTAAAAATTTCTAGAATATTTCAAATAACGAGAATAATTTCTTTTCAAAAAAATAATTTTTCATAGAAAAATATTTTCGAAGAAGTAGTTATTTTCCACCAACTAAATGTAGTCTTGTATTTTCTACCATGTTTAATTGCAATATCACTCCACTTTCAGCTTTTATTCGTTGAAAAGAAAGGCTATAGCTAAGGTAAACTCCTGACTAGTCTGTTGGTTTAACACAAACTTTTTTAATTAATTTAATTAATTTTTTATAAATCTTAATTATGATCTGTTTAGTACTACCTCAAGTCTAACTTAACTGTCACTCAAGCTATTTTTGGGACATTTTTTATAATAGCATATTTTGAATTTTTTATTTAATTTCACTTTATATAAAAAATATAATTACTATTTATTTAATATAAAAAAATACCCACAACTACCTGCAATGACAGCTATAAATTCTGGAGGAAGTGTAATCCTCCAATTCAATGGAGAGCGTTTCAGGCACTTATACATCAGTCTGTTGGTGCAATTAAGCAGATGTACTCTTGTCTGTGTTGTTATGGCTCGAAGGGGTTGAAATTTATTCACCTGAATTGCGGTATTCATCAAATCAAATTCCTAAAGAGCTAACTACCTTGCGCAGTCTGTTGGATGACACGGGAGATGTAGTTGAAGGTGCTAAGCGATGTCGCGACGACATCATAGTGAAGTCATGGCTTGTCGAAATGGAGAAAGTGCTTTTTGATACTGTTTATATACTTTCGGAGATAAAGAATGCCAATATGTTTGGGCTAACTGCAGAAGTCCAATCCAGTGCCAACAAGCCATGGAAACTCATCCTTAATTTGTTTAACAAGATTTCAAGATGTTTGCATTATTATCGAGAAAAAAGGATGGTTTCCAATGTGAAGTATATAACTGATAGATTAGAAGAAATTCTTGATGAAGGAAAGCAGTTATTAAAAGAAATTCCTGTTGAAAGAACGCAGTTTGGCCCCCAGAACAGATTAACTACGCCTGGTAACATTCTACCTCTGTTTGAATTTGCTATTTCTCTACGTTTCTTTCTTAAAGCATTTACATCGGGAGGGACTCATCATGTTACATCATCCCTCCCAATTCATATTATTCTTTCTATTCATTTAATTTGACTTCTTAATTTTTAAAATATAGATTTTA